TTACTTCTACTTATTTTTATTTATTTCTATTTCTCTCTTGATTATTACTTCATTTTATTAATTATTCATTACTATTTTATTATTTATTTTTATTGTATACATTAATTATATGTTAATATATTAATATATTTATTTCATAGTTATTATTTTAAATTTTTTTTTTTACAATTTATTATTATTTCCTTTTTTCCTATTTATTTATTTCTTTTCCTTTCCTATTTCTTTTCTTCCCCTTCCCTCTATTCATTTCCACTCCCACTTTTCCCTCTTTCTTCCTCCAGGACTTTTTCATTCCCTTTAAAAAAACCCCCAAATTCCCTCTTTTCCTTCAGTTTTCCACCCCCACAGTTGGTTCCTCCCTCCTGGTTCCGACCTTTTCCATTCCAGCTCTCCAGGGATTTGTGTTTCCTTTTTAAACTCGGTGCCTCAGGGAGAATATTCCGATTAAAGGCAGGGAATCAAAGGCCTTTGAAAGGCCAATAACACCCAAAGGCATTAAAACACCTCCTGAGCATTCCAGCATCTCTGATAAATCCCGGTTTTTTGGTGGAGAAGGTTCAAACTGGATATTTATTCCCGCCCTGAGCAGTGACAATCCACCTTTTCCTCTGGATAACTGGGATAACCAGGGTCCATTTCACCAATAAACCCCAAACACTGATTTTCTCCCTAAATTCTGGGGGAATTCTGCCCTTTTCCCTGGATTTTGGGTGCATGACAGAGCTGCTGTGCTGAGCTTGCAAATAACAGCCTGGAATTGCTTCAGTGCTCGGAATAATTGGCTTTTTTTGGCTCTTTTTGTACTGATCAGAATTGATGTGACTGAAGTGCAAATCTTCATAATAATCATGCATTTGCTGGCAGTGATTGGAGGACCTCCTTTTTGGCAATCTCTGGTAATTCTGCTCCTCTTCTTACTTTATCCTGATTTATTTTCCTTTTCCCTGGATGAATTCCCTGCACGGGTTGATTTGGGAGGAGATTTTCCTCGGAAGTGGGACATGGGAATTTTGGAGTTGATCACGTGGAATTCCCTGGTTCTGGCTGGGCCAGAGCTACTAAAAAAAAAAAAAAAGGTTATTTTACACCTGGAAAAACATCAAATATTGCCCAGATTTCGATGGGCCTTCAGGGAAATCCTGGGAAAACCTCCCTGGATTTCGGGCAGTGGAGGAGCATTAAATTGGGATGAGGATTTGGGGATAATTGGGCCTGGCTGGGGCTGACTGATTTATATGGGGGGGAAAAACCCCAAATTGTCTTTTTTTCCTTTTTAAATTGGGATTAAATGATTAAATGAATGTTTGAATTATATTTATATCTATATCTATATTTATATGTTTTATCTATATATAATTTATATATATTTATATATATTTATATCTATATTTAAATCTATTGCATCTATTTTATATCTAATTTTGCATCTATTTTATCTATATCTATATATCTATTTTATATATGTTTTAATACCTACTTTATATCTATATGTTCATATATATAAAACCATATAATCTATAGATATAGATGTGTTCCTGTGGGCTCTCCAGGCCATGTCAGCTGGCACTTGATGGGCTTTGTTCTTAATTATAATTATAATTAATCACTAATCACAGCAACGTTCCTAACCCTGGAATGTCTGACGGGATTTGGGATTTGGGGGTGGGAGTTTTGATTTGCTCTGGTTTTGGGGGGGAGGAGGGAAATAACGGGATCCAAAGGGGGTCGTGCACTCAAACATTCCACTTTCCCCTGGGAAGAGCAGGTGGGAAAAATGCAGGATTATGGTTTTGGGGAATTGTTGCTTTAATTCATTTCCTTTCCTTGTATCCCATAAAACTGGGTGTCCCTGTCCTGGCTCCCTCCTTTCTGGCCCTATAAATTCCCTTTTAAAGCCTCTTAAACACTCCTGGAGCTGGAGAATTCCTGGGAGATGGTGAGTTTGGGATCACTGGGAAAATGGGAATGAAGGGAGCAAGTTTAGGGCAACTTGTTTAATCCATGGATTATGTAGTTTATATTCCATATACTGATTTATTTTGCTGTTGGAAGCAAGAGAAAAGTCCTGCAGTTCCTGGGATTTTCCTCCCCAAAGGCACCAAGGATTCGGAAATGTGGAGCTGGAGGTTGTTGTTCCTCAGGCAGAGAGTCCATGGACAGCTCCACATTCCAGCTGGGATCCAGCCCTGTGGGAAGGACTCCCGGGACCCAGGTTTCCTGGCTGGGTGTGGGATTTGAGGTCTCTTCCCTGACCCTCAGCTGGTGGAAATGGGCTCTTTTCCTGCCCATTCCCTCGTTATTTGGGGTTTGAGATCCCAGAACTCCGATGGCACCAACTCTGCAGTTCCTGGCAGCAATTTTCTGGGAAAATATCCCAGCCTTGCTTTAATCCAGGTTCTTCCAACCTCCCCTGACCCTGTTCCCTTCCTGCTGCCATGTGTTCCTATTGACATGCCGGGATTTTCCCAACCAAAATTTGGAATTGTGGAATCCTGGAGTGGGTTGGGTGGGAAGGGACCTTCAATCCCATCCAGCCCCAGCCCTGCCCTGGGCAGGGACACCTCCCACTATCCCAGGCTGCTCCAGGTTTATCCAACCTGGCCTTGGGCACTCCTAGGGATGGGGTATCCTCTGGGGAGTCCTTTCCAGGGCCTCCACATCCTACCAGGAAGAATTCTTTCCCAATATCCCCTCTAACCCTGCCCTCTGGCAGTGGGAAGCCATTCCCTGTGTCTTGTCCCTCCATCCCTTGTCCCCAGTCCCTCTCCAGCTCTTTCAGGAACAGCTCCCTGTGCCAGCTGCTCCAAGGGCAAACCCCTCTGCTCCAGGTTTCCTGGAATCCTGGAATGGTTGCGGTTGGGAGGAACCTTAAAGCTCATCCCATTCCACCCCTGCCCTGGGCAGGGACGCCTCCCACCATCCCAGCTGGCTCTCACCTGGAACGCTGCTTTCCTGGGATGTCCCTGGATCCAGCAGCTCCCTGGAGTCTCAGAGGGCTGAACACAGAATGAGATTTCCCTGGAGAACCTCTGGCTGGTGACACTTCCCTGAATTCCTGATGTGGTTTTTGAGAAGTTCTGCATAGATTTGACTTGATGACACTTCCTAGAATTCCTGGTTTTTGCAAAGTTCCATGTGGATCTTTGTGTCCCTTCTTTGAATTCCTGACGTGGTTTTTGGGAAGTTCCCCACGGATCTGACTTGAGATGAAACCCTTCCAGTCCCCAGGAGGGTCGGAATAATTCCCTGGGCTGCAGTGATCTATGGAATAACAGCCAAGGAATCCCCTGGTTTCACATCCAGGGGCTGCAATTCCATCCTGTGGGAACATTTCAGAGGGAAAAAGTTAAAATCATCTGATATTTCCTTGATTTTGCTTCTTCACACTCTTGGCTTTGCTGCTTCCACTTTGTCCCCATTTAGGAGCTTTTTATCCCCCTCCTCTCCCAGATCCCAGGCTGTGGCTGTTCCTCATTAGTGATTAATGATGAGTTATTTCTGCCCTCTCAGCCCTCCCTGGTGCTGCTGCCCCTGGCAGGGGACAGGAGGGTGTTAACGAAGCAGAACTGGCCCAAATTGGGGGGTTTAACTGTGATTTCCCCCTCCTGCCCCTTCCTGAGCACCTTTCTCTGGGCTTTGTCGTGTCTGAGAGTTCTTCTCTCCACTTACCTCGGGGAAATGTCAACTCTGATGTCTCTTGACTCCTGTTTGGAGCTTGTTAGTGGTTTTTTGTGCTTATAAAAGCCATTTCACCCCATCCTTTAAATACCAAAGTTCCCTCTCTGAGGCAGAGGGACCTGCTTTCGGAAGGTTGAGGGGAGACCTTGGAAGCCCTGAACTCCTGGCATCGATGGCTGATGCCCCGTCCGTGGCCATTCATCCTTTTGCTTTATTTGCCTTTATTTTTTCTCTACAATCTTTTTTTTTTTTTTTTTTTTACCTTAAAGGGGCAGCCTGAGCAAGGCAAAAATACATTGGAGTGTTGTGGAGCTGCCCTGGGCTGGGCAGGAACCTCCAGGGCAGGGTTGGGAGAGTGGGAAGGGTTCAGGCTGCTCTGCCCTGGGAGGATCAGGAGGTGAAGCTGTTGAACGTCACAGAAAACAAAAAAAAAATCTTCCAGAATGATCTTCAAGTTCGAGGGATGTCTGGACAAAACACACCCAGGGTGGGGTTTTGGGGTGTCTGAGGTTGGACTTGATGCTTCCAGCTCCAAATATTCCCTGGTTTCCCTGCTCTGAGAGGGAAATTAAAGCAAAATAGAGACACTTGGAGCTCCCTGGGGCTCCTCAGGGCTGGCCCTGGGGGGCTGAGCTGGGTTATTCCCTGGAGTTCCACCACAGCACTTCCCCAGGGAGGAGCTTTCTCGTGGTGGTCCAGATAAAGTTGGGAAGTTTGGGGCAGTTATCTCCAAACACTCCCTTCCATGAACTTCCTGGGGTTTAATTTGAGCTATTTTTTGTCGTTTCTCTTCCTCCTGTTCTGCTCGAGACTTAAACCCGAAGGGAACTTTGGAAATTGGGCTCCTTTCCCCTTCTTTGGCAGCCTCAGCCCTCCTGCCCCACTCAGGGACCCCAAGGTGCCTCCTCTGGGCTCTCCTCACCTCCCTGGCCATGCCCAAAGGTTCGGAGCCCCTTTCTGGAGGGTTTCTCTGGGTCTTGGTGCAGGTGGGAGTTTAGAACCAGCTCCAGGAGAGGCAAGGGAGGAATTTCCCTCCCCTGGAGGGACTTGCAGCTATTCTTGGTTTCTTGGCCCACTTTTGGGGGCTCTTCTCGTGTGCCTGGAGATCAGCCTGGCTTTGTGGGAGGCTGGAGGGAGGCTTGGTATGGAATTGTTGGAGAACACGTCTCCCTGCGTGCCCAGGAGGAACTGCAATCCCTGTGTTGGCAGAGCCAAGCAAATACAGCCCTGGACAAGTGGAGTGTTTGGGTGCACTGGGGAACCTGAACCCAAAGCCAGTTTGTTTGTGCATCCTTTTAACTTCTTGTCTCTCTCCCATGAAGATTCCAATCCTGAATATCCAGGTGAAAATATTCCCAGCTCTCTGTACTGTGGCAGGAACCATCTTCTCCTGCACCAACTACTTTGGTGTGATCTTCACAGGGGGAGTTGGCAAAAATGGCTCCACCATAGCAGTGAGTACCTTGTCCTGCCGCTTCCTCCTCCTCAGCCACGCCTGGTGTTTTTATTTTATTTTGTTTTATTTTTATTCTATTTTAATTATTTTATTTTGTTTTATTTAATTTTATTTTATTTTAATTTATTTTATTTTAATTTCATTTTATTTTGTTTTGGTTTATTTTATTTTTAAATTTCTTTTATTTTAAATTTAATTACATTTAATTTCATTTTTTATTTTATTTTAATTAATTTCATTTTATTTGTGTTTTATTTTAATTTATTTTTATTATATTTTAATTAATTAAATTTATTTTTATTAATTTTTATTTTATTTTATTTTCATTAATTTAATTTTATTTTATTTTATTTTTATTTTAATTTAATTTACTTTCATTTTATTTTTAATTAATTTCATTTCATTTTGTTTTATTTTATTTTAATTTAATTAATTTAATTTCATTGTATTTTTGTTTTATTTATTTTTTATTTTAATTTAATTCATTTAATTTAACTTTGTATTTTATTTTTTACTTTGTTTTATTTTAATTTAATTAATTTCATTTAATTTTATTTTATTTTGTTTTATTTTGTTTATTCCCCCTCCAGGTGAAATATTTTCCTTTCACTTCATTTCCTGGCTTGGGAAAAAACCCCAAGTTAATATTGTGTGTGTGTGTAAGAAGAGCAGATTTAGGAGCCAGAGGTTTAAAATGGGTGATTGGAAGCAGTGCCAGCATTTTGATTTTGGGGGTTTGAGTTACTGACACAAACCAGGTTATACCAATACCCAAACATGCAACCCCGGGGAGCTCACACTGAAATCCGGTGCAAAGTCCCTTCCCAGGAGATTCCTCAGGGAGTTCTGGTCCTTCAGAGCTGAGCACTGTCCTTCCAGCAGTGGGCCAGGAGCTGGGGAGGGTCTCCTGAGCCCCCCCTGTCCCCTGGCTCTGCTGCCTCACAGGGGTTTTCTGCCCCACACCCCAAATCCATCCCCTCAGCTGTTCCCCCAAATCCATCCCCTCAGCCCCTGTTCCCCCAAATCCATCCCTCAGCTGTTCCCCCAAATCCATCCCCTCAGCTTCTGTTCCCCCAAATCCATTCCCTCAGCCCCTGTTCCCCCAAATCCATCCCTCAGCTGTTCCCCCAAATCCATCCCCTCAGCTGTTCCCCCAAATCCATCCCCTCAGCTGTTCCCCCAAATCCATTCCCTCAGCCCCTGTTCCCCCAAATCCATCCCTCAGCTGTTCCCCCAAATCCATCCCCTCAGCTTCTGTTCCCCCAAATCCATCCCTCAGCTGTTCCCCCAAATCCATCCCCTCAGCTTCTGTTCCCCCAAATCCATCCCCTCAGCTTCTGTTCCCCCAAATCCATCCCTCAGCTGTTCCCCCAAATCCATCCCTCAGCTGTTCCCCCAAATCCATCCCCTCAGCTTCTGTTCCCCCAAATCCATTCCCTCAGCTGTTCCCCCAAATCCATCCCCTCAGCTTCTGTTCCCCCAAATCCATCCCCTCAGCCCCTGTTCCCCCAAATCCATCCCCTCAGCTTCTGTTCCCCCAAATCCATCCCCTCAGCTTCTATTCCCCCAAATCCACCCCTCAGCTGTTCCCCCCCGCCTCAGGGGGCCCGTTTTTCATGTGATATTTCCCTTCATCCCCCATTTCCCAGCCCAGGAGGGTTTTTGAGGTTCCTTTGCTTTTTGAACCCCATTTCTCCTGCCATACTGTCACTTCATCCCCCGTTTTCCTGCCCAGGAGGGGTTTTTGGAGTTCCCTTGCTTTATGAACCCCATTTTTCACATGATAATTTCCCTTCATCTCCCGTTTCCCAGCCCAGGAGGGTTTTTGGGGTTCCCGTGCTCTCTGACCCCCTTTCCCAGCCCAGGAGGGGTTTTGGGGTTCCCGTGCTCTCTGACCCCCTTTCCCAGCCCAGGAGGGGTTTTGGGGTTCCCGTGCTCTCTGACCCCCTTTCCCAGCCCAGGGGGGTTCCCTTGCTCCCTGACCCCGTTCCCTGTCCCCAGGGCACGAGCGTGCTGTCCCCATTCCTGCACATCGGGGCCGTGCTCGCCCTGGCCGTGATGATCTACAAGAAATCGGCCGTGCAGCTCTTCGAGAGACACCCCTGCCTCTACATCCTCACCTTCGGCTGCGTCTCCGCCAAGATCACCAACAAGCTGGTGGTGAGTGCTGCAGGACCTGCCCCTTCCAGGCTCCATGGAAACTTGTGGCAAAACTGGGAGTTCCTGGGGGTTCCAATGGGTAACTTGTGCCCTTTGGAGCCCCGAGGAGGCGATTTGGGGAGCCTGGAGCTGCAGCAGAGCCCTCCTGTGTGTGAAAGGGCAGCTGAAGGTCCCCAGCTCTGCTCCCCCAGCTCCTGGTCACCAAGAAACAGCGGTTCTGTGCTCGTGGGGGAAGAGCTGGGAAAGGGGCTGGGAAAGAGCTGGGACAGGGCTGGGAAAGGGGCTGGGAAAGAGCTGGGACAGGGCTGGGAAAGGGGCTGGGAAGGAGCTGGGACAGGGCTGGGAAAGCCCCTCGTGGGGAGGGAGGGAGGAGGTGACACAGCTCTGGGACGCTCACTGAGGGTTTAACGCCGAGCTCTGGAGGGAAACAGGGTTGAAATGATTCCCAGGGAGCAGGTGAGTGAGGTCCAACAGCCCCTGCCTCCCACCCTCCCTGTCTGGGGCAGCTGGGACAGAATTCCTGGTGGAAGGAGAGTTTATCCCTTCCCAAGACCCGTTTCCAGCTGGGCCGTGCAGGGAGGATGGAGCGTGGGAGCCCATCTGTGCAGGGAGGGAGGTGGGAAGGCCTCACTTGGGCACCAAAACATCATCAAATCATACCCAGAGAAAGGTGGGGACCTCATGGAATGGGAAAAAAGAGGTGGAGGGAGAGACAAACTCCAAAAGTCTCTGAATTGGAAGCTTTAGCAGCTGTAAATTTTGTTTCCAGGCTCAGCTAAACTTTCCAAATTTGACTTTCAACTTAAAAAAAAAATCAGCTTTCTGCTCCCCTTTCCCTGGTTTGTTCCTGGCAGGAGGAACAGGTTGTGGGCTGGAAAACACGTTGGGTTTTTCCCTGGGCTGCATCCTTTGCTCTAAATGAAAGCTGTTTCTCTGCAAACCTTGTAACTCCTGCAGTTGTAGAACCCCACGTTCAAACAGGATTGAAATACTGGATATTTTGCAGCTGTGTGGCTTGAACTGGGGTTGGGTTTTTGGCTCTGTGTGTTCTGCCTTGGCTGGCCTGGGCTTGTTTCTTAAAATGCTCTTTTTTCTCTCTTAAAATGCTCTTTTTTTCTCCTGTAGGAAGCTCTTTTTCCCCTGTAAGCAGCTCTCTTTCCCCTGCAGGTTGCTCACATGACCAAGAGCGAGATGCACCTGTACGACACAGCTTTCCTGGGCCCAGCTCTGCTCTTCCTGGACCAGTATTTCAACAGCTTCATCGACGAGTACCTCGTGCTCTGGATCGCCCTGGTGAGTGGGGCTCATCAGTTCTCTCACTAATGATGGGGTTGCACGGGGCTGGGACAGGGAGGGGACCTGTTTTATTTGATTTTTATTTGATTTTTATTTTAATTTTTTAATTTTATTTTTTATTTTTATTTTATTTTTAATTTATTTTTTTATTTTTTTTTAATTTTTATTTTATTTTAATTTTTTTATTTTTTTTACTTTTTATTTTTCATTATATCTTATTTTATAAATTTTATTCTTTATTCTTCATTTTACTCTCCATTTTATGCTCCATTTTATTCTTCACTTTGTTCCTGATTTTATTCTGATTTTCTTCTCCATTTTATTCTCGATTTTATTCTCAATTTTCTTCATGATTTTCTTCTCAATTTTCTTCTCCATTTTCTTCTCCATTTTATTCTCCATTTTGTTCTTCATTTCATTTTTCATTTTATTCTTCATTTTTAGGTTATTTTAATGGTTTTTTTAGGTTATTTTTAGGGTTTTTGTTTTTGTTTTTTTTAATACCATTTATGTGGGGGAATTCCCCCTCCCCCAGTAAAATATTCTTATGAAAAGTGAGAAATTTGGATTCCTTGAAATATCTCGGGATGATGATGATAATAACTATAAACTATTATTAAATTACTATATTATTATATTAAACAATATTATTCTAGTATCCAGGAGCATATTAATTATTAAATATTAATTATTCTAGTAGTATTAATAACAGCTAGGAGGATATTGTTAATAATATTTAACATTATATAATTATATTGCTATATAATATTGATATATTTATTTAATATTAAATAATAATGATGATGACAGAGGTAAGGGGGCATTTCCCAGGATCTCTGGAGCTGCTGTGTCTCTTTTCCCTCCTCTGACTGGAGAACTGAGAGTCAGAGGCTGGAATTGTGTTGTCACAGGGCTGGAAAAAAGCTCAACATCTCCAGAAACTGTTCCTGGAGTGACTCCCCATCCCTGGGGGTGTCCAAGGCCAGGCTGGATAACCTTGGAGCCCCTGGGATGGTGGGAGGGGGCCCTGCCCGGGGCAGGGCTGGGAAGATCCCAGAGCTCTTTTCCAACCTGGATGAGCTCTGGGATCTTCCCAGCCCAACCAGTCTGCGATTCCAAGAGTATTCCCGGAGATCTGAAGGTTAAATTACTGCAGACCAGCCCCGCTGCTGAATCCCGGGGCGTGTGGGCCTGTCCCGCTGCGGGGGGAATCCCGGGAAGGGCATGGGAGCGTGTCCCTGGGAATCCCGGGAAGGGCATGTGAGCGTGTCCCTGGGAATCCCGGGAAGGGCATGTGAGCGTGTCCCTGGGAATCCCGGGAAGGGCATGTGAGCGTGTCCCTGGGAATCCCGGGAAGCGGGATCCGAGCGTGTCCCTGGGAATCCCGGGAAGGGCATGTGAGCGTGTCCCTGGGAATCCCGGGAATGCCGGGAATGGGATCCGAGCGTGTCCCTGGGAATCCCGGGAAGGGCATGTGAGCGTGTCCCTGGGAATGCCGGGAATGCCGGGAATGGGATCCGAGCGTGTCCGTCCCGCAGGTGCTGTCCCTGCTGGACCTGCTCCGCTACTGCGTCAGCGTCTGCTCCCAGATCGCCGCCCACCTGCACATCCACGTGTTCCGCATCCAGGGCCGCCCCTCCCACTCCAACCACCACTAGGGAACCGGGAGCCGCCAGGAAAACCAGGAAAGGGTTGCTCTGCTGCGTGACCGGGTGACGGAGGAGAGCGGAGGCGCGACGAGACCCAAGTAATTAATAATCGCGATCGCTTTGTCTGACTCTGGCTCTGGGACCGGGGACACTCCCCGACAGTCTCCTGCCTCGGGAGAGCCCATTCCAGAGGCAGCTCCGCAGTCAGCCCCGTCGGTTCCGGGCCTGGGAACGGCACGCAGGGATAACGCTCTGTCTTTGTGATTCCCTTGATTCCAAATTAACTCTCTGGCGAACGGATCCCCACGAGTCTCTAACGTAGTGTCAGTGCAGCCAGATCTGCTTTGGGTTCTAATCTCTCATCATCTCCTAGTGAAATACTCCCGTAGTTCCACTCAGATTGATTTTACTAAAGACCCGAGCTGGTTAAACACACAAACACCCCGAGGTATCTCACTGCCTTGCCTTGGAGCCCGGGCTGGGCTGGTTTTTCTTTTTTTTTTTTTTTTGTTTGTGTATTTGGAAAAACGAACAAACAAACAGAGAAAAAAGCGGGGGTTTTTGTGCTGGAAAGAAAAAAAGGACGTGTTGAACAGGGTTCTGCAGGCAAAGGGGTGCCCGGCATGCAAAATAGTGTGGTATCTTTGTCTCAATTAATTTTATTTTTTTAAATAAACGTTATCTAAAAAAAAAGAAAACAACTTTATTTCGAAACGATTTTCTTCGGTGGAAAAAGACTATAAAGAAGGAAGAAAGAAAGAAAGAAAATTTTACTGTTTACTTTTTTATGTATAAAAACTTAAGGCAAAATTTCCTTTCTGCTCTTAATAAAGAAGAATTCTGAGGGCGACAGTTGGCCTGAGATGTGTGTTGCTCTGTCCTGCTCGGACTTGGGATTTCCAGAGCAGTTTTCCAGTGTTTTCCTGTGGATCATGTTGTCATTTCCAGGATCTTCAGGAGCTTTCCCTGTAAGCTTTGGTTTTGTTTTTGTTTTTTCTCCCTATTTTAATACCACTGTTTTTGTTTTGATAGCGTTTTAAATGTGGTGAATCTGCACCAGGGACACTTAAGTCAGGTTTAATACAGGGTTTAATTGCTTGTTAATGAAATTCCCAGGGATTGTTAATGAACTTCCCAGGGGAAGTTCAGCCCCTGAGCCCCTGAGCTTGGTGTCCAGAGCAGGATCTGCCACAGACATCAAGGAACTGAATTTTGGGGAGAGAGTTGGTGGGGACTACTGGGAATGTCTGAAATCCCCCCCCCCAGAGCATCTCACTGAGGGTGGGAAGAAAATGCAGCCCCCGGAGCCACAGCAGAGCCTGAGGACAAGGACCTGTCCTGGGCCAGGAACTGAGCTCAGCTCAGGTTCAAAACAACAAAAACCAACCCCAAAAAGCGCCAGCCAAAGAGCAGCAAAGCAACAACCCAACCCCCGGGCCCCAGGAAGGGCTGACGTGGCTTTCCTGTGGCACCACAGACCCGGAACGGGTCAGGAAGCGCCGAGAAAACCCCGTCCCTCCGGTGACTGGGGCCATTCCAGAGCCCCTGTGCCCAGGGCAGGCTGCTTGGGGTCCTTCCAGGAATGTGGGGCTGGGAGAGCACGGGAATGTGCCTCCGGTTGGGAATGTGTGAGGAGATCCCAGGCTGGCCCTGCCCGGGGTGTCCCTCAGCTGAGCCAGGCCCAGGGCCAGGCTCTGCCAGTGGTGTCTGTGCTGGGAGCTGTCCTGGTTCCTTCCTGAGGGGTCACCCCGTGTCAGAGGGGCCTGGAGGTCACGGGGAATGAGGAACATGCTCGGGATGAGGAGGAAGCTTCTCTTGGCTCACCCTCTTCACCCTTGAACTCCAACCTTTTCTCCCCGGGAGCAGCTTTGGGGTCGTGGCCAGAGCTCTGTGGGGACTGTGTTGGGGTCCCCCCGGGGTCCCTGCCGGGCTGGGCCTGAGGGAGGTTTTGGTTCCTGGCACACTGGGCAGCTCCCAGGATCCCAGGTATCCCAGTGCTGGGAGCCTCTCAGTGTGAGCCGTGTCTGGGATCCCATTTTTGGCTGTAACTGGAATTCTCAGAGCTCATTTATTGAGTTCAAATGTGTTGAGTTCAACTCTGAGCTGGGGCTGGAGCTGACCCAGGTAATTCAGTGTCTTTGCAAGGCCGAGTCTGCAGGGGGAGGGTTTGAGGGCCCCTCACAACCCACAGTTCCTTTCCCAGCACCAGTGGGTGCAAAAAGTCTGCCTGGAAAGTCCCTCCCTGGGGTTTAATGTGGATAATTCCAACCAGGATCATTCCCGTTGGATCATCAGGCCCAACCTTTGACCAGACAGCCCAAACCCATGGAAAGGCCTTTGTGCTCTCAGGCCTTTGGGGTGAAGCTGCTCCACATAATTTGTCCCCGATCCTTGATGCTGGAGAAGAACCAAAGTCTTCAAAAGAGTAGTTTGGGACTTAAACTTTCCTCGAGGAATTGCAAGAGGGCACCTTTCCCTGAGCTTCTCACTGCCTGGAAGTTTGGATGCCCCCAGGCAGGAGAAGATTCCCGTTTCCCTGCTGGTTTCAGAGTTCCCAAGGAATGGTTGCTGCAGTCCCAGTCCTGCTGTGGCTCTGGGGCTGGTACAGTCCCTGGAATCAGTAATGGGATAATAACCTTTCCCCCTGGATGCCACGGCCCAGTCTGTGCCCAGGGGTCGTGCAGGACGTGCCGGTGGGGCTGGGAAGGGAGCAGGGATGTGGGGGCTCAGCCTGAGGGGCTTCTCCACTTCCCTTTGTGCCCAGAAGAGGCTCAGGAGGAAGAACTTCAGCAGCAGCACCCGAGCACACCCTCCTGAACAAACAGAGCCTGTTCTGCCCAGTTCTCTGCCCCTAAAACTGGGAAAACCAGCTGGGAACTCGCCCTTGGTGCTGCAGTGGTGCCTCTCGAGCTGCTGGAGGAGCTGCTGGTTGGGATGAGGAATTTAACAGAAAGAGGCAGCTCAGGACACCTCAGGGCCTCTGACTGTGCCTCCACTTTTGTTCCACCCGATATTTTTCCCTTTTCCCGTCCTGCCTGGAGGGTCCCAGGTGCCCCCAGTGCTGCTGGGGAGTCTGGAGAGGAGCTGCAGAGGAGTTTGGTCATTCCCAGAGGGCAGAGGGGAGGCTGGAGGAGGCTCAGGGGAGGTGGGAGCTGGGGGAACGTGGAGCACTCGGCTCTGGAAGGCTGAATCCAGGCAGGAATGTTTGCTGGCACTGGCACAGGGTGACACATGCCACGGCACGAACCTTATCTCCCCCGGGGCAGGGACTGAATCCCAGATCAGGGGCTGCTGGAGTTGTTTGGGGGTGTGAGTTGGCCACTGGGAGCTGTGTCAACAACCCAGCTGAACAAACCAACACTTTCCAGTCCAGGGAAACATTTCTTGGCGCTGTTTTGTTGCCTGTTGGAGGCTCAGATCGAGTGGTGGGTGAAGCTGGAGCGGGAAGGAGGATTTAAAAATACCCTGGGAGTTGTGCTGAGCTGCTGCAATCTGAACCTGTCCCTGCTCCCAGAAAACCCCACTGCCTCTTCCCAGCAAACCCTGGTCCCACCTGCAGGCAGGTGGTTGGAGAGAAGCAGAGTTCAAAGGGAGAAGTCAGGGGGTTTATTCAGTGTCTGCCCTCCCAGCACGGGGATTTCTTCCTTCCCTGCTCCTGGTTCCTGCTGGGGAGGATGTTCCTGGCAATCCTTGGTCTGTGCCCACGCTGGGCACTAAAGGGGTGTTAAAGCCCCTCCCAAACTGCCAGAATGTAAAAGGAGTTTATAAAAACTGGGGAGAGGGACTTTGTGCCTGAGCAGGGCAGGGGGGATGGAGTTAAACTGCCAGAGGGCAGGGATAGAGGGATACTGGGAAGGAATCCTTCCCTGGGAGGGTGGGGAGGGGCTGGGATGGAATTCCCAGGGAAGCTGTGGCTGCCCCATCCCTGGAAGTGCCCAAGGCCAGGCTGGATGGTGGGAGGTGTCCCTGCCCATGGAAAGGTGGGACTGGATGGGCTTTAAGGTCCCTCCAACCCAACCCATCCTGGGATTTGATGACTCTGAAGCCTCCCCACCCCCCTGCTTGCTGTGTTTTCCCCTTGCTGCAGCTGGAGCAGCGACTGCTTGGGAAAAATACCTATTTTAGTGTAAGGCTCAGGGTTTGTGTGTCTGCTTCAGCAGCTGAGCAATAACCCTCTGTCACATTTTTCCTCCAGCAGGAATTAAGGAACACCCCCAGTCCAGTCCCTCGGGTGATTCCTGATTCCTTTATAAAGAACTGCTCCCCAGACAGGTTCCACTTCCCAGTTTCCTCAATGAGATGGTTTTTGGCTTCACAACCCGAAAGTTTGGAGTCTCCTCCCAGTGGTGATGAACAGGCAGGGGAAGGGGGAGCGAGTGGCCTTTTCCAAAGAGATTTCTCCTGACAGGTGCCCTGGATTTTCCACACCGTTTTCTGCTGTCAGTTGAACTTCTAAGGATAAAAATATTTAAAAAAACCCCAAACCAAACCACAGAGAGACCCACTGACCTTGAGTTTCCTGCAGTTACTCCTGTGCCACCCTCTCTGCCCATGGGGGGGAACTTGTGGAGCCACAGAAGACACCAAAACCCCACTTTTTTCCCCTAACCAATAATTGCTGTTCCCCCTCCAAACACAGGTGGGGGCTGAACAAAAATCCACAAATCCTGCTGTTTGTTCCCTCTGTCCAGCCAAGTTTCTGTGCTGAAAAGCTCCCAAATAAATGACCTTCCCCTCTGGGGTGTTTGGGTTGATGTGCCTGGCTCTGAAAGCAAAGGCTGGTGCAGTTTTAGTGTTTGTGTCCAATCCCTCCCTGGGGATTTCGGGAGTGCTGCAAAAGTTGGGTTAAACTGGGTTTGGAGCCAGACCAGAGGAGGCACCAAGGGATCAGAGGGTTGGGAATGTTCCCCTGGAGAAGAGAAGGCTCCAGGGACACCTTGGAGCCCCTTCCAGGGGCTAAAAGGACTCCAGGAGAGCTGGAGAGGGACTGGGGACAAGGGATGGAGGGGCAGGACACAGAGAATTGCTTCCCACTGCCAGAGGGCAGGGATGGATGGGATATTGGGAAGGAATTCTTCCCCTGCAGGGTGTAAGGCCCTGGAATGGAATTCCCAGAGGATGCTCCATCCCTGGAAGAGTCCAAGGCCAGGTTGGATAAACCTGGAGCCACCTGGGATAGTGGAAGGTGTCCCATGTAGGAACAGGATGAGCTTTAGGGCCCCTTCCAACCCAACCCATTCCATGATTCCAGGATATTGTTGATGCTTCGGGGTCTGGTGTCACATCCCAAAGAGGAGGAGGAGGCTCTGCCTTCATCCCCTGCTGGGAGGAGCCCCTGGCACTGGTTTCTCTGGGAATGCCCCCGTCACTCCTGCAGCCAGAGCCCCTTTCCCTGCTGCAACATTCACTCCCACTAGGAAAAGAGAACCATTCTTTGGCCCTAAATCTGCTCAGGGAGGAGCTGCAAGGGTTGAAAAGAAATTGGGATCAAAACCAGAACCAAGAAGGGGTAACAACATGTTTTACTCCAGGATTGAACAAATCCCACCTCCCTCCCCCAGGCTGTTGATCAGCTCTTTCCCCTCCAGCCCCGTGGCCTTCACAGTTTTGCTCCAGCACAAATAAATAACCTGGCAAAGAGTATTTTGCTTTCCTTAGAAAACTAAACTTGGCTCTAAGTGGCAGCAGTGCAAGAGAGGAAACCACTAAACCCACCCACCTGCTCCTGCTGGGGCTGAACAACGAGCTGGGTGTGATGGGAAATCAAATCAAACAGTTGCTGATAACAGAAACCTCAGCAATCGCTCAAGGGGATGTTCCTTGTTTGCAAACCCCTGGTTGGGTTTGATGAG